TTTTTTCAATTCAGTTGAGGAACATGTCCACCAAATATCAGCTAAATCGGACGAGGTCGTAGGCACGAGCTGTCTTTCTTAAATAAATCCACTCTGTGTTAATTAAGGAGGACACTTTTAGGTACCAAAATATGCCCCATCCCATGGCAGCCACAATGAGGTGGTCCAAATTTCCACGCATAGTCCATATTAGACCAATTGACTGTACAAAATTTATTGCTTTTGTTACTATTGTGTGTTACCCTGTGCATCAAACCATAACCCAAATTTTTCTCACAAGGTTTTTGGCTGGGGTGAAAACAATTGTGGACAAGTTGGATCAGGTACAACAAGCAACCAATGTACTCCAGTGAGAGTGACCCATTCGCTTTCATCTCGCAAAGTTGTCAATGTAGCATGTGGTCAAGTAAGCACCCATGCACTTTTGGATAATGGAGAGGTACGATGTGGCATGATATAATGTACTTACTGAGTGTTGAGAGAGATTTTTTTTTTTTTTTAGTTTTCTAACAAACCTTATTTTCAGGTATACAGCTGGGGTTATAATGGAAATGGGCAGTTGGGTTTAGGCAATTCTGTTGTGAATCAGTTGGTACCTGCCTTTGTTCAAAGTCTTGTCGGTGTTGTAATCACCAAGGTAATGTGTGGTCTAGTTCATTGCCTAGCCTTGACTGATGAAGGAGAGTTGTACGGATGGGGTGCTAATAGTATGGGTCAACTAGGAACAGGACATAAGACCAATAGTGTAACTCCGATCAAAGTAGCCACTAATATAGGGAGGTAAGTACACCAATGCACACAGACTGTGCTACTAGTATATTTACTTTTCCTTAAAAAAAAAAAAATGTTTATTTTTTAGAGTTGTGGACATTGCTGCACATCATTACAATAACATGTCAGCTGCACGAACTCAACACAAAGTATATATGTGGGGCCAGTGTCAAGGCAAGCAATAATTTTTTGACCTGCACATCCAACAAAATTTGTCTATTCTCAATAATGTGTCCCTAATGTTATATTAGTTCTTTTTTCATCTAGGTCTTACAATCACATCACCAGTGGAGACCCCTTTTACATCTTTGCATGAGGTTTTTGCATGCTTCGCTGATACTGAAGTTACTTACAAACCCATACAATTAGAGAAAAAGTCATCACAGAGTGTAGCAGATTCGCTCCGTTTGGCTTTTGATGATCAGGTTCGTAATTCCAATTACTCGTTCATTGACATCTGCTGTGTGTTTATTTATTCTTATTGTGTTCAGTTGTAAATTTTTGTAATTTTCTTTCTAGAATACAAGTGACTTAACTATCTTGGTTAATGGAAAAAACATTCATGTACATAAATCGATTTTGAAAATTCGATGTGAATACTTCAGGAACATGTTCAAGGATCACTGGTCTGAAGACAAAAAGAGGTAAATCAAAATATTCAAATAATTGTTTCATTAACTACACTGTATTATGTATCTCACTAAACCTCTCTCAATGGTAATTTACAGTGTTTTGGAGCTAAAACAGTTTTCATATCCTGTCATAAAGGCTTTCCTCCAATATCTGTACACAGATGAACTAGTCATAGCTTCAGAATGTGCCCTAGGTGAGATTATGCATTTATTTTCATTTCATTTTGATTGCTGAAGTCCTAGGATTTAAAACAAATATCAAAATCCTCTCTTTCAGAGCTTCTTGATTTGGCTAACGCCTATTGCGAGCAACAGCTCAAAGAACTCTGTGAGCAAATATTAAAACATGGTGTTAATGTTGAAAATGTTGCAACTCTTTATTCCACTGCAATTACACACCAATCTGAGGTCAGTGCTACACCAATTCGCATAACATGCTGCTGCTACAGATGCACTGCTAATGTCAGTAGTAGATAGTAAATGAGATTACCAAGGGGAAGCTTCTGGCATTTACCTAGTTAGTTAATATTTTCTTATAAACATCCACATACATACTTTTCTAATTTCAAGATCTGCTTTTGAATTGGTGGCTTATTGTTGGAGTGTATATAAAAGCTTTGCTCATGCTGTTTCATTGGTTTCATGTAATGCTGTAAAAAAAATTATGGTTGAATATATTTTAAAACATTTCATGTTCTGATTTTATGTAGAATGTGTGAAGTTATTTTGGTTTGGGTTTGATTGGGTAGTGTGGAAAGAGTAAAATCTGCATCTTTTCTGCTCTTGGCTATGTCTGGTAAAGGGAAGCTTTTTCTCAAGGCATGGCAAGTAGGTTTATTGAAAGTACTTTTATCTATCCTGACATTAGTTATGATGTGAAAATGTGAAGCATGCTGTGTAATTTTGACGGATTTGGTGCAATATGAGCCTGACAAAGTTTTAATGGTGGAGGAGGATAGGGAATATCAAAGTAAGTACTTCAGCTAAATCAGAGCTGTTTGTTGTTTTACTATCTTGTCTTCCTCTTACCTTAGACATTTTACATTAATACACAGCAAGGAAGTGTCTAATATGTTTCAGTCCACATTTGTTTATTCTGGCTCCTCTTCAGTAAAATTCATTTTAGCTTATGAATGAGTTAACCCCTACAAGTGTTTTCTAATCTTTGCCTGCTCACTCATTATTTTCTTTTTGACAGGATCTGCGGAAGTTCTGCTTCAATTTTATTTTGAACCACATGACAGCAGTGAGCCAAACGGTTGCGTTTAGCTCTCTTGATGAAAACACTTTTCGTGAACTTATTGTCAAAGCAGGAGAAGCCGGTGTTTTCAAAACTTAAGTTTGTTTTTTTTGTTTATTTGATCTCTGTTATCTTAAAAGCTTGTCAGCTAAGAAATTATTGTTTTATTTCATGATGTCCAGTACTTTTTATCTTCTGTTTTGTTTTTACAATTAATTTTGTGGTGATTTAATGTCATAGTGTGAAGCACCCTATAGACCAGTCAATGATCTAATTTTTTAGAATTCTAGGGTGTTGTTGATATGGCTGTGATACAATAATTCATCATTATTTTAGAAATAGAAAATATAATTAGATAGATAGTTTCAAATATTTTGAAGGCTATTTTTGTTTTTGTTTTATGTTATTTTTAATGAAATAAAGTAACACATGTTTTTGCTAAATCTATCAATTTGTCATAATTTAACCTGTTTGTACTTAATATCTACACCTACAATTTAATCTACTTCCAGTTTTCGAAATGAACCCTCAATTCCAAATTCAGAAGTTTTCTTGACTGCCCTGAGACTCTCGTCAGTTTTCATCCATGCTCTTGAAGCGTACCATTCCTTCTTACTCAATATAAAGTTTCCCAAAACAGCTGAAAGGAAAACAAATCATATTTTAATAGGACCCTTCTCACTTCTCAACTTTGATAACAGGAAGGGTTTAGTACAGTACTTACTGCCCATCTCCTTCAATGTTGCTTCCTCACTTCCTCCATATTCCTTCGGTAAGTATTCTGGAGCAATGTGCTCGTGCAGGCTTTTTAAACTGTCGTGAACAATTATCTGAAAAAAAGAAGTGTGACAAGTGTGGGTACAGTATGAATAGGTAGCGCCAGCGCCTGCGCCTTCGAGCGAGGATGTACAGGGTGGGTGATCCGCGCCGTGTTTTTTCTGTTCATACTGTACCGGATTCCTACGTGCGGGTGGGCTTGCCTATCGTCGCTCGCCATGGCGCCTTATGGCCCCATGCGAGTATGCAACCCGTCCGCACGCATGAATCTGGTACAGTATGAGCAGAAAAAAAACACGGCGCGGATGACCTACCCTCTATCCCATTCGCTTCGGGGGCGCTGCGCATGCATCCCCATGTGCCGGGGAAGAACCTCAACACCTTACACTAGTCAGTCTAAAACTCACCCTCCCGGCGATCTTCGCTTTCATCAATGGGGTAAAAGCGTTCAGGAGCATTCGCGTGATATTAGGTGCCGTGCCATTGATGAGGTGGATGGCCTTCACGTTGGTAGGCATAGCGTCCTGCAAACAGCAAACATTATTAGGGAATTCCCTGGCCGGTTGTTCCCGCACTGCGCCTCGCCCTCAGTGCCTAGCCTCACCTGGATGCAACCCATCCACTTCCTGAACAATCCTAACGAGCTCAGGAGGGTGGTGACGACGCCCATGTTGATGTTCTTCTGGTCGTAGACGAAGACGACCCCCCGAACCGGCTTGCAGCGGCCGAACATTGCCTCCACGTTCAGCAGTGACCGCCGGTAGTGGGTGGACAGGTCGATGCGAGACCAGTTGCCGTGAGGAGGCATCACGGGCTTCTCGAAGTAGAGGCAAAGGCCTCCCGGCAGGAGCCTGGGCAGGTACCCGCCCTGGACGTAGTCGGTGTCCTCCATGATGCCCCTGTCCTCTGGAGGCGGCGGCACGACGAACCAGTCGGCAAGCGTCGTGCGGCAGGTGAAGTAGTTGTCCAGCCGAGCTTTGGCCTTTTCCATCGAGTTCTTGGAGACGATGAGGAACGTCTCCAGCCATTCGTCCAAATCACCTGCAACGAAGACACGTCCAATATCAGTCAGGGCCGGAGACACACAGGGTTCACAACTTCCATATGCGCCATATGCCGTCGTCGGGCTCGTACTCGTGACGTTGGGCAGGTGGGGCTCGGCGACGATCCACTCGCGCAGCGCGGCGGCGTCTCTTTTCAGGGACTCGGGCGTGGTACCGATCTCCCTCAGGAGGTCATTCAGGTCCTTGGGGCTGATGACGTCCGGCACAGGATCGGGGTCGTGAGAGTCCACGCCCGGCATGGTGGCTGCTGTGGGTAGGAGGACCTGCTGGAAGAAGCACAGCGCTCTCATCGTGTCCGCGATAAACTTTTGCACGTGGAAAGGAATGCAATGCGCGGCCGCGAATTTAAACGGTGACCGGGAAAGTCCAGGCCCGCGAACAGAGTTGAGTGTATGACCGGTTGTGAGGCGACCCCCCCCCCCTCCCCCGCGCCGGTCGCATCTAGTGAGTCGTCTGAACTGTTAGCAACTGCGTGCTGCCGTGCTCCAAAATCCTTGAATGTAGGCAAGCAACCTAGGGTGCACCCATACCACCGAGCGGGCCTCAACCCCATTGTAGAGTGTATACCAGAGATTGCTAGACGAATATTTTGCTTTTGGGGCATTAATTGATTGTAACTAGGCAAAACGCCCAAAATGCACTAATTGCACCCCGAATGTAGGCAAAAAGCTCACGGGGTCCGATTGCCAAGATATTGCCGAAGATTATCGTAGACTGGTAGGGTGGGTGCACAACAGACTGCTGGAGTGGTGGCCCCCTCCCACACCCTAAAGACGGACCTTACCCTCATACTGTACTATTGGCCGTGACAACTTCGCGTAGCGCTCAAGAAGAATGGAGGGAAGAACATAAAGGTTCCTGATTGGTTGAACCACCGTCGTGACGTAGAGGCGGGAAGCTATCGACCTTTCATATTTTAACTGCTATTTTTCTTCCTCCGCTAGTTGAAATACACTACAGTGAGTACTCACTGGCGGGTGGTTGGCGGGAACGGCACAACACCGGTGCGGCGGCGGCGGCGCACGGCCGGCGGCGAGGCTGACTGAGACGCTGCAGAAAGCCAGCGGGAGCGGGAGCAACACGCCGACTGCAGTGCGGGGAGGCGGGATCCTGGGCGCGAAGTGACTGCGCGCCTCGCGGGCGCACGGGCCCAGCTCCTAGTCGGGTGGGGCGGGGTGGGGCCGGGT